TAGACTCGTTGGTCTTCTGCTGGACATAGTAAACGGACGAACATTCCATCGGCAACGATCCGCTGTACGGCAACATGTCCGACTGAGCCCAGCATACCGGGGACGGATAACTTGACCAAACCCGGAGCTTAGGAAAATCAAAACGGATTCCAAAACCGTGTTGGGCATGTGCTGCTGCCGCAGTCGGTTATATGCCTGCATGGGACTCTGGCCTGCTCACCCACAAGTGCAATGCTGTTGCATGACAGTTTTTCCTAGTCTTCAACATTGGTGCTCCCACAGTGGTTCTTAACCAACCCCATCTTTGTGACCAGGTTGTGCGGGCTTTGCTGTTTAGTAGGGCTGATCCTGCCACTCTACACAACAAGCCTGTGCAGGCAGTTCCAGTCATAAGCGTATGCTTATGCCAGGAAACAATTTGATTGAGACTTTTGACAATAGAATAATAGCTCCTTGGCCTACTTGTGATGGTGGTTCCTTTGAAGCGACAACGCAGACTCTATGGTGGCTGATCGGCTTGCGCGCGACTTACTGTGCCAGCTAGCCCACGGGGGGTCCACCTATGCCAGAGTTCGAATTGGCGTTCACCTCCGACTGACAGGTTTCAGGTGTTGGGGAACTCACATTTGCTGGTGTTCGCAGGGCGGGTCGCTGGGTTCATAGCTGATGGAGCTCCAAGCTGGCCAAGGGATTGTGGAGGAGCTTGGGCGCTTGGAAGATGCGGACACTGAGAGACTTTGGGCCAGTGCGAAGACTTGTTGGGCGAGAAACATCCATAGACCTTGGTCCATGAGATACACAAAGAACAGAACTTTGATGAGGGCGCTTCTGCGGCAGCTGTTGCAGCTGAGTTTGCCTGACACTAACCCTGAGAATCCATGTAGGCAAATATGGCGTACATTGCAATGTAGCCATTTTTGGGGTACATTGGCAATGTAGCAAAAAAACAACAACATTCGTCGGATCCCTGTCGGATTGTCGAAATATAGCCAAAAAATGATACTTTCGCCGAATCCCCGTTGAATGTCGAAATATTGCCTGAAAATTGATGAGATTTGACGCAGCTCGTGTCCGATAGTCAAATTTCAACCCGAGTGGGGCGGAGTTAATTGAGCATATTTGTTTTTCAGGGGCCCAATGATCCTGCTTGCTAACTTGCTCTATTTGCCAAAGCACTGTTGTGTAGCAACTTCGCTTTCATTAACTTGAACTTGCTTCAGCAATTGTAAGCACCGCGTTATTGACATGGACATTTGATGATGTTTGTAGCTAGCGATGGTTGAGAGCTTGCCATCAGACTCTTGCAAGTGTTTTTTCCGGATGAGCAGGCTACGCCAAACAAACAAATCAACAATTGCGTGAAAGATTCTGCTCGTGCGTATGGGCAGTTCTTATGGGACCGTGTGTGTGTGTGTGTGCAGCGGTGGTGCACTCTTATGAGAAAGCCGAACTAAGCATTGAGTACGCAAATTGTTCAACCGCTGGCACTATCGCTGCCAACCAAGATGGGGGCGGACGTGCAATGCAAAGCGCCTCGAGCTCTATTGCCCATGCAAACGTGCTTTGATCTCGAATCATACGTATTTGAAATGATAAATAACCTTACACATCCAACATGCCCTGAGCCAAAGGAACGGACTTGCCGACCTTGAGCCGCATTGGAAAGCACAGCCATCTATCAACTGACAGGGATTTATGTTACAACACTACAGCCTACGCGCAATTGCAAGTATGGACATTTTTCTGGCTGTGCCGAATGATTGAGACGAGGAGCACCAAACCAAATGGCCTACCGAGTCGACTCCCAACTGCCGCCCAGTAACTGTTGGCCATTCAAGTGTGCTCAATCTACGCAGCAAGATGTCCAAGCATACCAAAAAGAAACTCCAATTTTATCTTACCAAAGCGGGTTGTTTTTTTTAATTCCGCTAAGCAAAACATAGACATAAATATGTTGTGCATTTGCAAATTTATTGTGTATACACATAGAGCAGTGTTCTTATTTGTAGGTTTAGGTCAATGACTGCATTGCGATTGGGCAGACCTGGCGTTTTGCCGATTGAGCGTGGGATATATGATGCTGCACGCGCGACCTGTGTGTCAATTGCAAATAATAGGTTGCCAATACTAATTGCTATGTAAACTCGGATAAGGAGCCACCAAGCTTAGCATGCATGTCTTCAGCGCTCCTGAGTTTTGATTGGCATGCTGGAGACTCAGCGTCCGGATTGTCTACTTGCATCAGCTCTGGGCTCGCATCAACTTTCAACCATGCACGCAAAAATGAACTTCCCTGTCAGCAGAGGACTCTCCAATGAAGTTCGAACGTCTACTAAAGGCCCAACAAGTACCTATTGTTGCTAAGTGTGGCAGCCCAAAAACAGTTCAGCAAAGGTCCGTTTATTTTTCTGGCTGACCAAAGTATGTCCCTACCATGTTCTTCACACCTGCCCAAACTTGCAAGCGATTTGGAGTAAATGACCCAACAAATCTCGCTTGCTTTTGCGTGACTTCGTCTCGGATTGTGTTCCTGTCCTTTGCTTGTGCAAACGGAAAACCGTGATTTGGCGTGATTTGGCGTGAAAAGTTGTCGGATTGTCTTCTTATTTTTGCTTACATTAACGGAAAACCGTGAAATAGCGTGAAATAGCGTGAATTTTTGCCGGACTGTGTTTGTTTGTAGTCCACGCGTTTTACGAGAAGCATCGCGTGATTTCGCACGATGACACGTCGGACGAGGCTCGATTTTTGTTTGCTCCGTGAGTTGGAAGTGATGTGGCTTGATTGTTTGCGTCACCTCGTCACCTAGCAAGCTGGCCTAGAAACATGCGCCCGCAAAACAGCGGAGAAACGCTTGTCGGACAAATGGATTACTAGCGCGTATGCCCAATGAGGGCAAAGCACTAAGCCCAAAACATTCGGGGAGAAGCTGACAAGGACATGTTTAATCAAGGAGGGCATTAGACAAACATGTTACGCGTGTTTTTTTTATAGTAAGGTTTCACCGATAAACCGAGTCCTTGCAAAGCAACATATGGGGCTTGGACTGTGTCATATCCGTCCAGTCTCAACCATTCTCCTCAAGACCGCCGCTTGAGCCTTCGCAGCACATCTCGTTTAACATCCACGTTTGAGACGTACAGCAAGCTGTTGTTTTTTAAGTCTGTGAATTTTGCATTGCGGCATGGTCGCTATCTGGCGAGTGAAATTTCGCTTTGCAAGCATTGGGAACTGCTAGCAGGCTAGCATGCGTTTAAAGTGAGCCTCCTGGAAACAAATGAAACACCTGCTTTGAACCACAAGGGCTTTTTAAGCTGGGCTGCGCTCTGGACTGGGTTGCGGCATGGTGTTAAGCAAGTATTTGGTTGGAGATGTGGTTGATGGAAATTAGACCCCTTACCTTCGGTTGACGACTTATGGCCCGCGAACAAGCTTGTCATGATGATCCATCGCCCCTGCGTAGGCGCGCGTCAAGCGTAATAGCAACTTAGCTCGCAATCAGGAAGCAACCCTCATTTAAGCTACACACGGGCAAGTTGACGAAATTGTGTCCCTGTGGACAACAACGATGTAGCATCATTGTGCTTGATCGTTTAGTTTGGGGGGTATCAACCCCCATGGGCGTTTGGATAGGTTTTGTTGAGAGTGACTGCTGGCGGGATCTCCTGCTGCGAGGTGCTTTGCAAGGAGTTGTTGTCCTCCATGCGCAATAATTATGTTTGTTGAGTGATATTTGCTAACCGGCGTTGCCTTGGTGTGATCCTGCGCTGGAAATGTGCTTCGTGGTGTGGCCTGAAAAGTTTGAACTATCGCACACGTGCTTCGTCGCCGCACTGTTTTGTCAAGCAAGCCAGCCCGTCAAAAAGGTTAACGTTACAATCGGAAGTCCTCAGCGGGATCTGCTACACTATGCTAGTCGGTTCCTTCTTTTGCATGCCAGGCAACCAACATTTACTGACAATGATAGCTGGGGTTGGCTCGAGTCATTTTGTGCCCTGTTTGTGCCCTGTAGTTGTTGCCAGTCATTCGCAGTTTGAGCTTTGTCCGTACATCAAGTTGCGGCATGCCTTTGTGTTTTCCTGCATTGTGAGTTAAGTTAGCGGTCTGAAAGGCATTGGAAAAGGGTGGTTGGAGGGTGTCGTCGGGTAGAGTTGTCGAAGTTGAGGCGAGCTTGTTGTCGGAAGGCTTGTCGGAACCCTTGTCGGAAGTTGTCGCTTTGAATGTCCCCAAAAATTGGCTACATTCAGGTTTATCGGTCAATGTAGTTGAAAAACGCTGGCGTCGGCCAATGTAGGCATATATGCATACATTGGATTGTCAGGGTAAGGTATACAAACAGTTTGGCCACGTTGCAAGAACATGTCATGCTATTGCTTTCAATGTGAAATTAGTAGTTTTTCCTCCGGCAGCGAGCGCAAGGATGCCATTTGGCGTCACTTCAGTCTGGTGTGTTGCCTCTTTCAAGGGGAAATCTGCGAAAACGCGCGAGATGTTGCAAGTCGCGCTAGCTCGTCTGAGCATCCGTGCTTGCAGGATCATGTTTTGTCGGGGTCTTGGTCACGGTTATTCCGGATGGCTTGCCGCAATCTTTCTTTTCTGCGTGCCAGCGATCGTTTGTGACGAAACTTGCGTGCCTAGGGCGCAACTATTCTAGGATCTGTTGTTGAGTTGCGGCGAACTGCAGTGTAAGCGCATTGCGCACGTTGGAAAAGAAACGGAACACAGAGAAACTCCAGCGTCCGCTTCTACCAGTGCATACTGGTTGCAAGTGCTGCTGCAGGCATGCCATCGTTCATTTCATGACATTGTCAACGTGCAGGCTCAAGAACAGGTTGTGGCAGGGCAATGACAACGCTGACATTTGCATTCCTCAATGCTAGGTTTTTGACGATAATCATGCATACGCAGGCATGTTGCCATTGACGCACGGTGGCCGTATCGCATTCCCTAGTGTTGAAATAGTCTGTTGATAGTTATTTATATGATAACTAGTTGCAGCGCATGTGGTGTAGCCCCACAAGCGGCAGTCGTAGATTGAAGCCTCATGACAGCTGTCGAAGGAGCAGAGTCATTGCTTGCCCGCATCCGTTCGGGCGGAGTGGATACGGAAGAAGACTTTTACGGCATTCCCTACCAAGACGTATTCTGCACAGGCAAAGCCTTGCATGCAGCTGTCGGTGGTTCGATTGGCCCAAAAGACTGCCGTGAATGTGTGCAAGCCCTTTTGGACGCCAAAGCTGATGCCAACACTGAGGCGACGTCGAGCGACAAAACGCTGAAAGTTCAAGCGCTTCACATGGCGGCGTATGCGGGCCATTTCAGGGTTATAGGGGATCTTGTTCATGCAAAGGCACATGTTGACATGCCAGAGACGGTGTTGAAGGGAGAGACTTCCACCTTCCGCAACACTCCCCTCCACATTGCTATCTGGTATGGGGAACAGGCCACAGCTCTTGAGCTGCTACGAGCAAAGGCTGACGCCTCCATTGAGAATCAGGGCTTCACCGTGTTGCATCATGCAGCCAGGTGTGGAAATGATCGGATTGTTGCGAGGATGCTGGAGCTTGCTGACGACCCTCGATGCTTGGCCCAGCTCCGATCGCGCCACCGGAATCGGTCGGCTTTGTTGCTGGCCGCTGAGGCGGGGAGTGTTCGCAGCTTTGAGCACCTTCTGAAGCACTCCAGGGAGGACGACCTTCGAGCGTGCTTGGACTTTGCCATCCAGAACCGGCCGCAGATCCTTTCCGCGTTGCTGGAATCTGCGCCGGGGCTTGTGCTGAAGGAAGCCCAGGACGCCGCAGCGATGGCGGCCCAGATCATTGGGAAGGTCGGCAGTTCATGGGCCAAGGTTCTCGACAAGCTGGTTTGGTCCCCCAGAAGTTTGGTGGCCCGCCTGGCGGAGGATCCCAGGCTATCCAGGTATGAGTCGAAGAACATGATGGTTTTTTGGCAGCTGGACTTCAAGAACCACTGGCACGGCATGGCTCGCCTTACAGGCTCTGTCAGGACTGTGCGATTCTCCAGCGAGGTCTTGAGCTTCGGAGCAAAGTCTGACATGCAACGCAAGCATGATCTCCTGCAAAGGTTGAAGCAGTACGAGGATTCCGACCAGGCTCCACAGGCAGTGTGCCTGCGGGTTCTTCCTTACGATGCAAATGATCTAGCAACAGTTGAACTGATGCAGGCAATTGTGGCCACCAGAAATCATGAGATGATGGACACGCAATTTGTTTCTGCAGTGCTTGCTGATGCCTGGAGTCGTATTTGGCCGTGGTACTACTGGCACGCTGGTATTGCGCTTCTACAGGTCATCTTCATGTGCTTGAGCACGTGGAGTCTGAGCTACGGCCCACCGGATTCATTTTTTGTGACGGTCCTCCTCTTTGGGGTAGTGAAGCGAGGCATTGAAGAAGTGTGGCGAGCGATGCTGCTTGTGACGCTTGGCCCCGACTTTGTCACAATCAGTTGAAAGCTTGCGTAAACCACCTAGCAACTATCTACATGTTTGTGTTTCTGGGGGCATCACACAGCTTGCCGCAAAATGCGGACAGCAAAAGCTGCGTGAAAAGCGCCTTCCCCCCAATGTGTCAACGGAACAGACATTACATGGAAGAATTGCCTTGCTGTTGGCTAGCTGCTATTCAAGGTCGTAAATGGAAGGCAAGGAACCTAATTACTGCTTCTCGTGCCAGTACGAATTTTCATGTTGAGTTGATTGCATGGAATGCTTGACTCACATTTTTTCAAGCGCAGGAAACGCCTTCTTGCCAAGATGAAGGAGTTCCGCGGCAAGACACAGGACTTTCTTGCCAACTGACTGCCACGTTGTCATCATGATCTTTCTTGGCTAACTGGTTGCTCAGCTTTGCGTGGTCTATGATAGTGGGCCGCTTTTGTTTCAACGCTCCCCGAAATGTTCACCATGTTGATTCCATATTTCATGAGTATACCCAGTCAAGATTGCAAATGGAACTTGCGACAATTAGCCACTGTCAGCAAATGTAGAGCCAGTTGCTCGGGTCGCTTTGTTCTTTTTTGCTTCTCTATAGCACACAGTGGTTTTGCTTTGCCTAGCAAGCGATGAATGGTGTTGGGTGGGGAGAGTGCAAGCTGCTGTAGGAGCGCCGGAGTCTTTTCGGCAAGCTGGGGAGACAAGAATTTCTTGACGTGATGCTCGACGTGCCCCTGGACTGGGCATATTTGGCCTTCAGCTGTGTTGGCCTGGGTCGCCTGTGGGATTTTCGAGATCCGGATCCAGGTGCAAAAGTGTGGGTTGCCACGTATGTCACGCTGGTGTGGCTGTCTTTCCTTTATTGGCTTCGTGGGCTGGAGTTGTGGGGCTTCAACAGGAAGCTCTTGCCGATTCTGCGAGCGATGCAGGGCAGCGGCACTGTTCTCATGGTGGTGGCATTGACATTTTGCGCTGCTGCACACAGCTACTACATCCTTGGGCAGGGCCGGATGTCCAATGATGGGTATGATGCATACCGCGCTTTCGAGCGGACGTTTCGTCTTGGCCTTTTAGGCGATTTTGATCTTACAGAACTTGAATTCCTTGACTCGGTGCTTTCTGGAGAGAGTTCGTTGTGCGCAAGCGACGCTCCTGCACTTACAGAGGAGGATCCAGAGCCAACGGCGGACTACATTCCTATCCGATTGTTTTTCTATTTGGTAGCAGTTGGGATTAGTGTGGTGGAGATGAATCTGTTCATTGGCGTGTTGGGCAATGCTTATGATGAAATCGCAAAGGATAGTGCAAGACTGGCAACGCGTGAGAGAGCGCGGCTGGTCGTTTTCATTCATCAAAATCCGTTTTTTCTGTTGTATCACGCCCTGTGCCCCGGCTGTAGGCAGAGCAAGGATAGCAAGGTGCATAGCGCCAGCAAAGGCCGCAGCGAGGAGTCCAAGTTGCAGCCTGCCATCCCCGCCCGGCGCGATGGAGACAAGGACGAGCATGGCGACGCCGGTCGTAGGGGATGCTGGCGAAACGCGGAAGAAGACAAGAGGGCGGAGTGTGAGTGGCTGTTTGCCGTTTTCCGCGATGCGGAGGGAGACAGGGACGAGCCCGAGCAAGACGGCCTTCCGGAAGACTTGTCAGACGACTTGTCCTAGACATTGCGTTGCTCCTGCATGCCGGGCCTATAGCTGGGCTGCCGAAGGCAGCCTGTCTGATTTGGGTTTCATGTTTTTTTTGATGTTTGCGCGATGGTTGGGGTTCTGATCCATCATCCCATCTCTTGGCCAAGACTGGCAGCTCATGGCATTTTGAATATGCTTGACTTCATGGCCCATGAAGAAAATTCGTCTGCGCCCAACTGTTGGACAGCAAACAGCAACAGCATCAGCGCCACCAACAACAACACTACCCCCATCAACGACCGCCATCAACCACACCAACCACCACCACCACCACCACCACCACCACCACCACCACCAACCACCACCACCAACCACCACCACCAACCACCACCGCCGCCACCACCACCACCACCACCACCACCACCACCACCGACAACAACAACAACAACAGCAGCAGCAACAACAACAACAGCAGCAGCAGCAGTAGCAGCAACAACAACAACAACGACAACAACAACTACAACTACTACTACAACAACAACAACAACAACCTCTGCTACTACTACTACTACTACTACTACTACTACTACTACTAGTACTACTACCACTACTACTATATCTACATCTACAACAACGTCTACAACTGCAGCAACACCAACCACAACCACCACCACCACCACCACCACCACCACCGCCGCCGCCGCCGCCGCCGCCGCCCCCCCGCCCCACCACCACCACCGCCACCAGCAGCAGCAGCAGCAGCAACAGCAGCAGCAGAACAGCAACATAAACAGCACCAGCAGCAGCATCATCAACGTCATCATCATCATCATCAACAACAACAACAACAACCAGCAACAACAGCAACAGCAACAGCAACAGCAACAGCAACAGCAGCAGCAGCAGCAACAGCAACAGCAGCAGCAGCAGCAGCTGCAGCAGCAGCAGCAGCAGCAGCAGCAACAGCAACAACAACATCAACAGCAATGACAAAAGCGAAGGAAGAGCAGAGCAATAGCAATAACAAGAACAACAACAAGAGCAATAGCAAGCCATAACAAGAACAGCATAACATTGCCATGTATTAATGGAAGTTCAGGAGACACTTCCGTAGTGCTGGCGCTATGTGAAGGCTTGCCGTCGTTTGAAAGTAGATGAGAGCTGAAGGAGAAGGGAAGAGAAAAGAAGAGGAGAAAAGACTGGCGTGAAAAGGTAGATGAGAGCTGAAGGAGAAGGGAGTATAAAGGAAGCGAAGAAAAGAGAGGAAAAGAGAATAGGTGGCAAGTTCCTCTGATTTTCCTGTTCTCACGCCCCTTGTGCAGCAAGGCAACAAGATGGGCCCCAAAAAGGCCGGGTGTCTTTGCTTGTTGCTGTGCAGGTAATGTAACGTATCGTAATGCGATGTAAAGGAACGTGGCGGAAAGTAGCGTAATGTAATGACGTGTTGTGCAATGCGACGTAACGTAAGGCAATGCAATGCCGTGCAGCGTAATGCATGGTAGCACAAATTCAGTGCAATGAAATCTAATGTAATGCGGTTGCAATTCAAGTCACGCATGTGTTTTCGTGTAACCTAATGTAGTGCACGTAAGGTAACCGAACGCAGCATAACGTAACACAACCAATGTTACGTCAACATAACGTAACGGACGTATGTACGGTACATTTTATGTGTGTAATGTAACTTAGCGTAATGTATTGTATCGCATCGTAACGTAGCAGGGCACAACGTAATGCGGAGTAATGCAATGTACGGCAATGCAATGATATGTTTGTGCGTATATGCATAGGCGCAAACACTGGTATTACAACACATAGGTGACAATATTTTTAGGTAAGACATCTGTAAAGAGGGAGTCTCCTCTTTCCCGAACCTCTCAATTCTTTGCATGGGAGTTTCTCAAAATGGACCCTTTTGTTTGTTATACCCAAAAGGGCACCAACCACGTTGAGGCTGCCCCTATTTTGATACCCACCCCTATATATATATATATATGCATCTTTGGTATCTGGGGTCAAGACGTGAAGCTCTGCAAGCTGCATCCTGACATCCCAGCTGACCTGTGTCCCAGTGGAGCGTGCCCTTTCATCCATGATATCCATTTGCGCCATGTGGTGCCTCTTCATTCTCCGTTTCTATCCGCTACCAACAAAGCACGTATGTCAGACTAGGTGAAACGTGAGGCTGTGGCAACACTCTGTGTGAAGGTCTTGCGGTTGGGTCGGTGCTGGCCTCTGGTTTCATCCTGGCCTGTTGATGTCATTGCGAATCCAGATGAGTCCAAACTCAGGCCACAGGGCGGCCACTGATGGCACCCAGGAATCCTGCAGCAAACCACGGACTCTATTCAAGCGCCGGCAGACGGATAGCGTTTGAAGCAGCTTGGTGTGCCGATTGAAGAGGTCACCGGCGATCAGTTGAGCGCGCAGGGCGATGCACCATGACATTCGTTCAACAGGCACGAGGGGCACAGTCACTTCGTCCACAACTGGGTGGTTTGTACATTCCACAATTGTTGGGACAGGTAACGTTCGGCATCATCTTGAAGAATTCATGTTTTTTTTGCCTTTGGAGTTGTAGGAGTTCCGCCCTTAACAGCCCTTGACAGATCACTGGTTCCAAAAGTGTTTGATGCCGAATTCAATGTTTCGGCAACGGAACGGACTACCCCATTCATTACCAACTGCGTTTGTTTTTCCCTCCTTGATCTCCCGGTGAGGACATTTCTAGAGGGTCAAGGGCTATCAGCCGACAGCCCCCACAAGCAAGTCCTTTTGTTCGCCAAAACACAACACGTCTGGTTGAAATGGCCTCTTTGGGTGCAAAAGCGCCGCAAACACGGGGCTTCTTCTCTCGAAAGAGGCGCCAACAGCTTTTGGTGCCGACTGGGACAAAGCCCTTGGACCGGCAAGAGGATAGCGACCCTTGAAACACCCGGAGTGTGTCTTTCCCTTGACCAAAGAGGGCACTGGAAGAATCCAACAGGGGCATGAAAACTTTCATTCGCGGTTTCCTGCCTTGATTGGTTCAAAGGAAGATGCCAAAAGGAGCCCACGGGATTTTTCGGGGGGTCCCCCTGTTTTGGCATATATTGTCCCGTCTCCCAAAGCTGGTAACGTCATGTGCCACTCGCGGAGGCCCAATGCATTGGACCTCGCTGACGTCGGCTTCAGCTTCCAGTTGGCTTCAAGTTCCCGGTGGTCACATGAGCAGCGTGCAGCGTTCTTGATCCAAGTCGCGTAACGCCTGTGGCAACTGGGGGAAAAGCGAACAAGGTGGACGCAGCTTTGCTGGGATAGCCGGTTGATGCGTCGCACTGAATCGCACTCGAATCGCACCCTTAGGGTTTTACCCATCGATTTGCGTCAAATATGATGTATACTATATATGTGTACATAACCTATTTAGGATATCCGCTCTAAAGCTTTGCATTCTTTTTGATTTACGGAGGGGTACGACCTTCAGTTAAGGACACAACTGGAGCCTGGAACCTTTGATGCAACCCTTGGCTCCAGAACTTTTGTGTGCTCAAATTTTCCAGCATTGAAATCCGCCCATGGCAAGCTGAAAGTCATGGAAACACACAGCCATGGCAGACAGGTGCCTTGGGTGCTTTTTTTTGGCAAGCACGTACACGGAGAAACAGCTGCTCCAGTCAGTGCAACATTCACAGAGCAGCACTCCTCTGAATCCTGCCCGCGTGATGTCGGCCGGGGACTCTGATGTATTCGCTGTGGTGCGACAATGTGGATTGACTTGAAGATTGCTTGGAGTCTTCCAGCTAGGTGCCAGATGAGGAGTCGGGCCAGGTGTGGAAAATGGCATGGGCCAGCAATTGGCTCCGTCTGATCAGCAGTTGTGAGGGTCTTGTTGGCGTCATGCTGAGGGTGCCAGCAAGGATCCAGTTGCACACAATCGATGAATCCGGCTAAAATGCCAGGCTGTGGCAAACACAGCTGCCGTTCCTTGCGCCTGGGCTGAGAGTGTTTTTTTGCACTAAGGGACGAAAGCCAACTCCGGTGAGTTCGGTTTGGGGGAAGGGCACGCATCGCTGTCAAGCTGACGAGTTGTCACTCATTGCAAAGGCCTTCCCAACGGAATGACCATGAGACCCCCCAACAGGAACCAGTCTTGGCGCCCCATCGCTTTTGTGAGGCAATTCGCAGCTCGAGTGCGGCGCTCAGCTCCGAATCATTTGCCGCCTCGTTGCTAACCGATGCGGTTTCAAGTTCGCACGTGAGGTCCTGTCATGTTGCAGCACGTTGTCGGTCTGAGGCCAGAACAGATGGCCAAAGAGGCTGTGCAGGCCGAGAATCGGCACACAAGACTTGCCCGAGAGTCTAAGAAGCCAACTGGAAATACTTCTGCAGGAAATCAGCCAAGTACCCGCGAAGAAATGGATGTTTGGCTGTTTCGTGCCTCATTTCATGGTTTTCTACCAGCTCAAACCCGGCTGCGGCAGTTGGCAATTTGCCGCTCACTGTGTATTCCCTGCAGCTGAACATAGAATTCCACCCCCCCCCCCGGCAACAAAAAGAAAAAACAATTCCCGTCACAGGTTTGCTCAGACGGGGTCGCCTTTCGCATCTTTTTTGGGGGTTCCATGTGCACAGAGTGGTTGACTCTTTCACGGCGTCGAGGTCAACAACTTGGAGCCCGCCCTGGAGGAAGCCCAGGAGGCGGTGGCTGGTGTTTTTTTTCTTCTTCGCGACCAGGGAACACTGGAAGGGCTTGTGATGTGTGCTATCCTTAAAAATGTCGATGAATCTTGGTTCAGCAATTGTTTTTGGTTTTGTTTTTGTTTGATGGTTTGTTTGTTTTGTTCTTGTTTGATTGTTTGATTGTTTGTTTTGTTTGTCTGCTTGTTCGTTTGGTCTTTGTGATTGTGAACAGATCCTGAAGCCCAGAGGTTAAAGGTGCATTTGGATCCTTGACCCAAGCTGTAGATGTTTTCTGCTGCGAAGCTTCTGAGGCATTTGGATCCTTACAGCCCAATGATTCACGCTTCTGAATCCTAGATTGGTGGACACGAACACCTTGCCCAACCATGATTCGATCTTTGCAGCCCAACAGTGGAATGTGCGGAATCTCTTGCCATGGCCGCAGAAGATTCCGATGCTTTTGCAGAGCGCGCTTGGTGCATCCTCGCCGTTCCCTTGATACATCCTGACTTTACTCGCCAGGGCGTGCTCCAAAGAACGGTTCCCTGTTCTGGGTGTCTCGTTTTTTGAGTTGGATGGTGGTGAAGGGGAATCAGCACGCACTTTTTGAGAGCTCCTCCTACCCACACAAATGATGAAAAAAACACATGTTGATGTCTGGGAATGGGGCCCCCCTGCTTGGATGACTTCAAAAGGGAGCTGAAACAGGAAGCAGCTGCTTGGAATCCCCCAATGCGCGGCCAACTGTTTTCTGAACATGCAGTTTGCAAACCAAAAGGCAGCCGCAGGGAATCGCGCGACCTTTTGGTAGGCGTTGAAAGGTGAAAAGGGTCCCACCATATGGGGCAACATGGGGCATGTTGCAGAATCCGGAAGTTCCCCTGGTTTCGCCTTTGAATCATTGAAACCCTGCAATTTCCAAGAGGCGCCCACTCTACAAAGGGACCATGCCCATGAGGCGTCGTGTTTTTTTTGTGTGTGCAGGATGTGCCGATGGACGAGCTTCAGAGAGCCGCGCCTTTGCGCCCGCGGCGCCCGTGGGGCACCTGGCCGAAGGGTTTTGTGGCAGCTCGTTTCGGTCTGGTTTCGGTCAGAAGTTGCAAGAGATACGAGGGATCTGCTTCTTTCGGGGAGTCATGCTCACAATTGTTTTTTGGGATGAGTTAGAGTGCTCTTTTCCCGGGGGGTCATGCTCACAATTGCTTTCGTGTGATGAGTTTTCTTTTCACCACCATTTCAGGGACAAACCAAGGGACAAGTGGAGTGCTATTTTGAACCCAGTGTCAGGCTTGCAGTGGCGCTCTGAAATCTGTCCTCGGAAAAGGGTTTACCTTTGAGAAGAAAGGTTGGTGATTCAGCTTATTTGCCGCCATTTTTTTTAAACAGGAAGGGAAGTCGTTCCGGATGGAAAGGGCGTTTGAAAGCAAAACCAAAGGTTGATCCGAACCTCACAAGAGGAATATGAGTTTTACAAGAGGAATATAGGTGTTTTTCCTTCAACATGTCTACCCTTGTGGGAGCAGCGCCAAAGCAGGCTTGAAAGGCAAAGGGGCCAGCCAGATGCGAAGGCCTTCCAAGAAGCTGGCCTTCATTTTGATCTGCCGCGGCCTGTGACTTCGGTGACTGGGCCGGTCCAGACGTTTTTTTCCACTACCTTTGGGTGCCGTGCGCCATCTTCCTTCAACATGAGCCACAACCAAGGTAAATGAAGGTTAGTTGGGGACAATCCCACCCATAAATAGCTGCGGCCGCCTTCTTAATTCTTCTCACATCAACCAATTTTCGACACGTGTCCTTCAAAGGAGTCACTTTGCCGTCTTGATTGGGTGGTTTGTCCTTTGAAATACAGTTCGTGATTTGTCGGGTAGGTTTCCCTTCAAAACGAAGCAGCAGGTGGCCACCAAGCAGTGATCGACCATTTGGGGATGGCAACCAACACGATCAGCAAAAGTAGCAAGGGCACACAGAGACATATGTCGAACTGCAATTGAAATCCAACTAGAGCTGGGAAGCGGTTTCTCCAACTTTGGATTTTCTACTTAGTCCCCAAACCTCCCAGTCGCTGTCCACTTCCCTTTTTTCTTCATTTTCAATCAGAAAGGCAGCGATCGTGCGGAGGTGTTGTGCTGTTGGCCATTGCTGGAGAGCCCCGGGCTGAGCCGACAGCAAGCTTTCACCCATTCAGCAACTTCTTTTTTCTCTCCGCTTTTTTTTTTGTGGATTCGGAATGCGAATTTGATGTTCATTCCAAAGTGACGAATTTTTGTGGCTTGGACTTGGATTCAGAAAGGACTTGACTTGGATTCAGCAACTCGGCGGTTGGATTCGCTTGCTGATTCAGAACTTTGATTTAGAGTCTTTGATTCGGATTCAGCAACATCGATTCAGAAGCTGTGGCTAGGCTTCGCGCAGTGAAGGGTGGCTTTGTTGCCTAGTTGTTCTTGTCGCCATGCTTTGAGGTGCCGCCTTTGGTGCGACCCGCGTCTTGTGTTGTCTTCCCTTGGTCTAGCCAAGTTTCCGCATGGGGTACTGTGATTGCCTCAGACAGGTTAGTATCGGCTTCCTTGAAGCCACTATGAATCCGCTTCGTCCAATATCCACAGAAAATCATGTGAAATGTAACCATTAAACAAGACATCTTATGACTCTTATGACTACATGCCTACAGAATACGTATATACACATGTATATATATATATACATATATATATATATCCATATGAGTACCCGACAACATTATTGAATGACTGGCGGTTGTATTCGGCGCGACATCACTTAGCTCATAGTCTCTAAAACCTATCAAAACCCTGAAAACCGATGGGGGCCTACCCAAGACCGATGCCCCGTAAGAAGAGTAAAGACTTGCAACGCTACATTATTCGTCGCAAAAGCCTTTTTGGCTTTTGTAAGCTGGTTGAAGTCATGGCAGAGTGGACCGGGGAAGAGCGCGTCAAACTTGGGCTGGTAAACTTCGGTCGGAGCCTGTGAGAGATGATAGACAGATCTGGCAGACAGAAGTGATAGAGCCTATGACAGACAGCTGTGACTGAAGTTATACAATGTAGTGAAAACCCTGAAAACCGATGGGGGCCTACCCAGTTTTGCGACGACGTATTCGGGAAGTAAGTAATATTGTCCGACACGTATATATATATATATATATATCTATATATTTATTTATGTGGCCCCCCTCACAAAACTCGTTCCCTTGGCCTCCCAAAACCTGAGGTCGTGTCAAATGCGACCCGAGGCTTTGGATCATAAGCCTGCCAGAAGTGCCATGGCTGCTTGACAAGCTCTACTTCGCCACTTGGACTGACTGAGATGCCGCGGTGAAAACTCCTTTTGGCAAGCGATTCTTGAAACCAGGGTTTATGCAAGGGGTCTAGCTGCACTTTGCCTTTTGGTGGCTAACGAACATCACTTTCTACAAGAGCAAATGCAGGGCCCTGTGAAGAGTCAAGAGCGTATTGGGTTTTCGTGTCCCTTTCGAACGGCCGAGTTTTCTGATGACAGTGACTCTGGACTCAAGATGTTGCACATGTCGTAGGGAGGGATGAAGCAAGTACTATCCGCATGCTCAACCCGGACCCCGACCTCGTTTTTGCTTTTCAGCAAAGTGATGGATGCCTAAGTCCGAAAGTCTTCGACATTTTCCCTCGATGATCTTTGCACATTCCTTGGAAGATGCAATTCGTCTTTTAAACCATCGCTTGTGCCAGCCGGCCAAAAGGAAGCCATTCGGGGGTGAGATTCAGGTGGATATGGAAAGACCCCATGTTGCAACCGAAGATTTGCATTCAGACTCTGCGCGCTAGCAGCTGTTCTGCGCTCCGGATGGTTAAGTAGTACTGACTTGAACTGTCTTGCTGTTGGAGTCGCATGTTTGTAGGATATGGAGCATTCCAAGCCGCGGCAAATGATAGGAGTCACGGTCGGAGTCACGCACGCACCACGTTGGAAAAGTTGCCCAACGCAGGGCAATGGATGGCCGGGACACTTGATAAAGGCTTCTCGAAATTGGGGAACCCTCAAAATGGCCAAGGTTCCTTTTCCCTTACCATCCAAGGAGACACACCCTCATGAGCAGCTCCCAAAACCCCCATTGGCCACAGGTGGTTCTACCTGGTTTAATAAGGCTACGGAGGCTTTTGGAGCCTCAGTCATAGAACCAGAAGTCAGCCAAAGCGTTCGGCTTCGCGCCGTCGATCGCTCTGCGAAGGCAGTGGCCCTGATTTTCCAACTGATGATGGTGCCGGGCGCTGAATTTTCGGGGGGTTGTGGTTGCCCGGTTGTCCGGTGGCTTTAGAAGAACTGTAGGGTTTGCGGCCCGAATCTTTCTTCTTCGCCCCGTTTCGTTTTTTTGGGGGGTTGAACTGTTATTCAGCCTCAAAGAAACCCCACCAAATTGTTGGTTTCCGACTTGGCTTCACCGGTCGACCGTTGGTTTCCTGTGGGCAATTGCGCCAAGAAAGGTCGAGAACAGCCTTTGGACGCCCGGTGTGAAGGCGACGGGATCCTGAAAATTCACCGATGGACCCAAGAGTGCGAGGTTTCCGTAGTGTCGGCACCCCTTTAGGTTTTGAGGGACGCCTTCCAGGACAACTTCGGTACACACCATTTCGGGGGTCTTCCCATTTTGAGGTATGCCAAACCCGAGCCCCAAACGACCAAAGGAAGCATCTTTGGGATACCCAAACGACCCGCGAGTTGGCAAACACCCCCGACTCCTCCGTTGCCGCCGTAAGGCTGGCGTCCTTCCCTTTTCCAGAAGGCAGCTGTGGCCCACGAGGCCGCCTGGTGTTGTTGGAGGGCTTCCATCCCACAAAAGGGGGGGGAGAGGAAGGAGAGAAGCCTTTTTTAAACCTTCTTGTGGGATAGAGGGCCTCCGGTTTCCGAAAGAGCGACTTTCCTGCAGATGAACATGGAACTCAAGAACTCATGTTGAGAGGAGCGCGCTTTTGGGTAGCCTGTTCAGGTTCCATGTCCGTTTGCAGCCAGCTTTTCTTTTTTTGGGAGGGGAACTTGCCCTGTGTTTTTCTCGAGCTAACAGCTATAAAATATCCAGCCGGCAAAAGGCCAAAAGCTCGAGTAGTCGTGTTTCTTTTTTGAGGGTACCCTTTCGGCTTGGTTTCAGGCCCCCATGGTTTGGATTGGTTGGATTGGTAAATCGGACACGGAAGGGTCGGCCGATCCATTGATCCATAGCACGATCCATACCTTAAGCCTTGCGATCCATACCTGTGATCCATACTTTTGATCCATACCCTTGTTTTGAGCCAACCCAAATCCCAGGTCAACCTTAGTCGGTGGTTTTAGATTAGAGTTTTTGTTTTTTACATCCCGTAGAGGGTGTTTTTGGCAAACCACCAATCTGACACCTCACCACTGCGCCCAACGTGCCCTTGCCGTGCAGCTTTTGGGGCTCAAGGAACCGGTGAGAAGCGGGCATCGGTCAGATCTAGTGACCTATGAGGCCCTTTGCAGGGGTTCCTATGTTTCCTTGTTGTGATTTGAGATATCATCCGTCTTGCCAGGGGATAGAGTTTCTCTTCGTAGTTTTGGTTGTCGGTGGGAATTGTTGGGAGCCTTTGGAAAAAGAAGGCACGCCAGAGAGGCAATTGAGCCATTGGGCGAAAATGACTCTCAGCCCGACACAGACGCCCTCGCGCCATTTGCGGCATTCGCTTCGCTCGCATTTTCCACGGGAGGTTTTGCGCTCATCGCGCGCGCGCCATGTGCGTGGATGAGCGTCTTCTTGGACGCTGCGAACTTGCCGGGGGTGGGCGAAGACATCGATAGCGATGTCGGGGGCTCTGGGGGATGCGCCAAGCAGCACGGGGAGCTCATCTCCGCGCCTCGGAAGTGAGGGGCACACTGAGGAGTGTTCTTCGAGTTGCCTTTGGCGCACTACAAAAGCATGTTGAAACCGAAGGGTTTTGATCCTGAGTTGGTTCCCTGGGTTGTTTTAAAAGGAAACCAGCCATTTTGGGTCAGGCTGAACATAGGTTGATCCTCAATGAAGCCATCTCTCGGCTGATCTTTTCTTGCCCCCAAAAGGACGCCGGTGTCTCATGTATGGGGTTCAAAGGCTGCACAAGTTGCTCTCGTGCTTGGCCTTGCAAGCCTGTTTTGGGCCAACTGTTGAATTCTTCGGCTTTTGAGTTCCTTTATTTCCAACCAACGCCTGAATAGAGTTGTTGGACGACTGGTCTTCAGCCAGGCGCCAGCTTCTCGCTTTTTGCCAGCCGTCAGTTGGAGCAAACAAAATGCACGGCACCAGCGGACGCCCCTTTGGCGCTGCTTGGGGTTTGATGATATAGGGTTTACAATCCCCAAATTGGCAGCACCGACACTGTTCCCATTCGACCGCCACAAAATCAATCTGGTTTCCAAGTTGGGTCGCCCCTGTTTTGCAGTACCTTTCGGACCGTAGAAGCCTCATCCAAAATTTGAAAGGAGGGTACACTGGACATCATGTTAAATTAGAGCAGGTCACTTCAGTGAGTGTAACCTCACACCTGGGACGTTTTAGCGCCCGGGTTTTCCGGAGAGAGGTGGCCTTCTGGGGCATTTGCGACATCAAGTACGACCCCCGGGCGCCGCCTGGGCGGCGCGTGCAGGTGCTGGAGCTGGGGGACGGAAGGAGCAGCCGCTTCTCCCACCACGGGCGCTTCATCAAGGAGAAGTTCGACTCCCAGCACCCCGGCCGCAAACCGAAAAGAAAAGAAGCCAAGGCGTATGTTTTGGGGGTCTGGGGCGTTGGCGATCTGTTTTTTGGAGAGGGGCGAAGTTGCAGACCCAGGAAGTCCCGAATGAACTTCCTTCGCAGGCAAAACAGAATGCAAACCCAGGAAGTCCTCATATGATGTGCCGAAGCTCTTGCCAAAGCAAAAGTCAAAATCCCGAACCAATATTGTCCAAAGAGGAAATTGAAGAAGGCGCGCGTAGCACAACAAAAGGAAAGGAAGGGCAAGGTATTGCAATGCAGAGTAGCCCAATTTGTGCATGTTTGATCTGGTTTTGGTTTGGTTTGTTGCTAGTTGCTTGGTTTGGTTTGTTTTGCATTGGCTGCGCAAAGTGCAACATTGCCTTTCAGGGGTGCGGGCGCCATTGTTTTTTCTCTCACATGCGCGTTCTCAGGTATTGCATGGCACGTGCGCCCATCAAGCGGGCGGTGATGACTGAGAACAAGAAGTTCACCCATGACATGTGCCTCGAAATCAACTGGGAATGTGTCAAAGGGACTTGCACCCCTAGATCGAAGGGTTGTGCTTCTGGATTCTTCCGGTCCCTTCAAAGCATAAACGTGCACGCACACACACGCGCAACGGTTATTGTCCGTGCAAAGCGAACATCAAACTATAGTGGCTACCCATGGTCACGCCTAAAGGCAAAATTCCAGAGAGGAGGGATGATATTGCAGCCTTTTGCTCTAGAACTGTTTCTGAGTAGTACGAACTGTGATAGGCTGCAGACCAAACCCCCGATGTTTTGGCACCGAACCCCCTGAGATGTTCCATGTTTTTCCAAAGCAATGGGCTCTGTACAAAACAACCTCATGCTCCATGGGTTCACCTCCAAAGCAACCCAAAAGTTCAGCCGCCCATTTTGCTTGTCCAAATCAACCCAATGATAGTCCAAACCAACCTTGTTTTAGGGAAGCTGACTGGATGAGTTTTTTTTTTGGGGGGGGTTGGTCGCTTGCTTGCTTGGTTGAAGCTGACTGGACGGATCGAACGCCCCGAACCGCAGCCGGAAGCGGAGGTTCGTCCAGGAGGGCTTCGCGGAGCTGCGGCCGCCCACCTGCGCGTACGCGCGGCGCTACGAGGCGACCCTGGCGCGGCGGATTTTGGAGGATCTGGACGTGGCCAAGGCGGGAGCCGTGGGTGGGGGGGGGGGGTATTGGGATGGGGATCTGTGGGGAGGGGGGAGGGGTATTGGGGATGGGATGGGATGTTGGGCTTGGCTGGGGGGGGAGGAGAAGGGTTTTGGTGGGGAGGAGATGTGTTGGGAGCTGGAGGTGGGGGGGCCTTTGAGGGTGTGGGTTGGGTTGTAGGGGTGGGCCAAGCCCTTGTTCAGGCGGTTCAACAAACTCCGAACTTCGGAGTTAAACGAAGCGGACCGTGCTCAGCAAAGATTCTCCTCAAGGAAATGATCTATGGGAGTTCCCGTGATTCGCAGGGTCCAGCTGGACTGGGCTGGGGCTAAGCGGCTAAGCCCTAGTTTGAATTTTTGAAGCGTGGGTTCAAGATCTTACAGTCCTAGCAGTGGTTTTCCTTTACCCTAAAGGTGGGTTGGGGCTGGTGGGGCTGAGGCAAGGCCGTTGCGCTGTGGGTTCCACCCGCTGTTGGGAGGAAAGGGTTTCTCCTTGTCAACTTCAACGCAAGTCGGGCGCCCCTTCGAGGTTTTACAGGTGGTGTCTGCCTTTTTGACGCTCGGCTCCGTTTTTGGAGGCAGTTCAAAGGGAAACGAGAAGGAGAACCAATATTCATTTTGTGGGTTCCTCTTTATTCGTGTTTTGTTGAGGGTTTCCAGTTTGGGGTTGGTCCAAAGAAAACCAAAGGAAGGCAAAGATGAATTTCGGATTTTGACATGTTCTACAAGCGTGAATCAAGATGTCTGTTTTCTTTTTGGGCCACGTTTCAGGTCAGTCTAGCTCAAGCATAGCGTCAGGTGTTTGAGATACCTTTGACAGACCATCCCTAGTTTCCTAGTCGGGCGGGGGATCCCTTTTGAGCCAACAGTTTTTGCTGGGGTTCCTTGAAGGTCTTGCCGCTCACTTTTCAGGTTGGACAGCCTTGCCATAAACACAAGGGGTTCAAGAAGCCCTTGAAGTCTTGGTCTTCATGGCTTGTGGACGTTTGGGTCTGACCCCTGAGTTTTACCGGGCTTTGATCATGACCAACCGAGTGCCATGACCAAGATGGCTGTCAGCCTGCCGTCAGCCTCCGGGCTTTAGGCAATCATGCTCAAGGATAGAGGGCGAGCAACAGAAAATCCTCTCGAAGTAGCCGGTTTCCCCTTTTAAGCATACCTGCATTGCATGGAAACTAAAGCTGGTTTCTTGGAAAGAAAGGCAATTTTTTGAGCCCTAAACGCGGCTTTGTGCTGACCCCCTCAGGCGTAAGATGCATTTTCTTAATAAATTTCTTTGTTCAGGGTTACTGTGGGGCTATCATTGTATTGATTCCTTGGAAGGAGTGTTTCTGCATACTGTTAGCATGGGTGCTAAGGTTTCTATGACCATGACCAACAGATTCAGAGTTCTTGACAATGCCTTGTTGCTTCTCAGGGAACGAGTTTTCAATGACCTCGAACTGAACCATCCAACTGGACAATCACCTTCCGGTTCATTCCTAAGACCCCAAGATTCATTTCGGTAGACCCAATGACTTTGCTTCGGTGAAGACCCCCCCACCCTTGCCCCTGGTGACATGAGACACTCAGAGTCTTGCAGCCAGGAACCCCAAAAAGACTATTACGTAGACCCCAATTATCGACCATAAACCCCTAACGCAGGTAGAGCCGCCTACCTGACCAGGCCCAACCGATCGGATCCAGTTTCCTTTTTTTTCAGGGCGCGGTGGTGCTTAAGCTGTGCAACCGCTCCCGGGGCGCTGGCGTGGTGGTGGCGCCATGGCTGGTGGCGCTTCGCATCGTCGTTCGCGTCGGTCCGACTGAATGTCACAGGCCATGTGGCAACATGTGTGTCGAGTATAGCGATACCACCAAGAGATACACACACATGGATATACATGGAGCCCATGGGACACAATAACAACTCTCCCTGGATATACAACGATGTATGTCTATTATGGGTATATGTTTGTGGACTTGTATGTTTCAGATTCTCCGGAATACTCGTAAATGATAGGCATGCCGTACCAATGATCATATTGATATAGACATAGATCACAAATGTCACTACAATGGTCGTAATGATAGTAATGGTATAGCAATTCTGATAGTACTACTCATCGTTACACAACAAGTATTGTGATAGAATGGTCAAGTTATACTACAATACGGGCATTTGTGCGAGGTTGTTTAGTGATTGCAGACATTTCACATAGATAGATATCAAGTAGTATTTCAGCAGCCCACATAGTATACGGTTGACAACAGTATCTGCTTGCTCTATATGGACGATGTCGCACAATGATCATAAGTTTGTGACAACAGAACCAGCAATGCTGCTATGTGTAGAGATTTTACTCATTGAATGAACTGCACCCACAAATGATGAAGATAGGAATACTAGGCAAATATAGCAACAATAATTCACAAGTCACAATACGTATGCTTTAATATGCAGAACGAGGATGTACACATGCATATATATATATATATACTGTTGTACTCTGACTATACATTGGACATAACTACTACGGTAACGACCGCAACACTATTCATCAGCTGCACATACGTCTATGCATGTGATGATGACATACTAATGCGGCATCATTTACAACAATGCTGGCAAACCTACCACAGTAACAATATATATATATATAAATGTATGTTTTTTTGTGTGTTTTTTTTTTTTTTTTAATACCAGCAATAGAAATATTTACATAAACCATCGTTCCTTACACTGATACTACGAGGGCGGGGGTGGAAATCTGAGGCTTCGGGTCGACGGGTCGAGTTCCGAGGTGCCAGCGGAGGAGTTGGACGCGGTGCTGCGGCAGCTGCTGTCGCCGCCGGTGGACCTGGACGCATGGCTGGCAAAGCGCCGCGAGAACGCGCTGCAGGCGTGGGGTTCTTGACGCGGGGAGACGTGGAGAGGTTCTCGTTTGTTAGTTGTTTGGTTTTTGTCGTACTTGTTGCTTGTTTGCTTGCATGGTTGTTCTTGATCCTGTCGGACTTTGGATTCCGTGGTTTGTTTTTCTGTCTCAAACTCTAGTCTCACCAGTGTTCGCCAGGAGGGAAAGCTGCTGGAGGAGCAGTCGTGGGGCCCAGTCCAACGACTTTGCACTCGCTTGGATTCAGCTGGATGCATCCCGTGAAGCGAGTGAATTGGTGTAGGGCCGGAGTTGGTTTGCCAGAAAGTTTAGTCGCTTAGATTTGGTTTGAGGATTGAGTTAGTCAGTTCAGTGAGTCTGTCAGACATGTTTCTCTTAAAATTTCAGTCACCTAGTTGGTGAGTGGGAGAGAGAGGGAGTGAGGTAGGCAGTCAGATGAATCGGTGAGTTAGTGAGCCAAGCCGTTTGTCATGCAGGCATTCCATCAGTTCGTCCGTCTTTTCCTGAGTTAGACAGGCAGCAGTTGGTGTGATTCTGCTCGGACCAACGTGGGCCAGAACGAGCCGCATATCCCATCACTGGCCACACCCGGCATGTGTTGGCAGTAATGCGGGGGAAATTGGGGATTGGCTGGAAATGACACAGGGCACAAATTATGCGAAAATCAAGCCATGAGTTTGGCTTCGCGATTCAATTTGCATGTTCTTACAGCTTATCCAAAAAAGGGCGATTCTTGTTTGCTGCTGATGCTTTTGTTGCTCCGCGACGGTGCAGTTGCAGGGTCGAGCGTTTTTTTTCTTCCTCTGTCTCTCTCTCGGTGTGCGTGCGTGTGTGTGTGTGTAATTTCAACTGACTTTCCCACACGTTTTCCGCATTTCCCGCGTGGCGGCTTAGGTGCATCCACTGGTGGTCCAACGAGTGCCCACTCTTCGTGGTGGAGCCGCTTGGAGAACGCGGTCTCACGAAGCGAAGAGGGGGGGCTTTGGATGTGGGGCGCAACAAACGGAGTCGAACTCCCCCAAAAATGGGAAGTCCCGCAAAAAACGTCCCTTGGTGTTTTTGTTTTGGAGCTGCTCACTCGTAACCCGACCGTTTAAGTCTTTTGGGGTTTCCCTCTTCAGTGAATTGTAGTCAAGGTCCGAAAAAGGTTGTGCAACCTTTTGTTTCCAGCCCCTTTGGGCAGGTGAGTACATAGGTATGTGTTGCATCTCTTTGGAGGTGCCTTTTACCAATAAGCCGTATATATATACATATACATATATATATATATATATACCAGTCATGAATGCGTTAAACCGGGCCAGATTAGTTGCACTCGGATTGTAAACGATTCATCAAGAGGGCATATGAGGTTATAGCAACATATTCCGCATGGGTTATAAACGGCTCATAGAACGGTTTTATGAGACATTTTACGCGTTTCAAAGGGGGTTGGATTCGTGTCCCGTGGCCGAAATCACAGGAAGTGCTGCGCCTCCATCCCGGTGCCCAAAGAGGGGGACGACGGGCTCTTCGACGGCACCTTGCGGGTGGCCTTTGCGCTGCATCGGCCCAAGAGCGTCTCCAAGTACCAGGCAGGTGACTCAGGGGCCGGTGGGGCTGGTGGGTCTTGCGGCTTCATTCATATATCACATATCGGGGTGTCGGTGGCTTGAACGTAGTTGGCCTGGCTGCCGCCTTGAGATTCCGTTGGAATCCCATCATCCTCCACAAAGTGTAATTACCAGCTCTACCAACCACGCAACAGTCTTGAGCATGTTCGATATGTGTTTGTTTTAGAGTTGTCACAGTTTGTGGCACACACATTGGTCGCATAGACCCCGGAAAATGGCAAGATAGGACTCGCAGAATGGGAAGCAGCCCGAAAGGGAAACCTGAACAATTAGAATGGGCTTACGACTTGTGGGGTGCCAAACCAAAAAACACCCGAAGCCAACCCGCGTGGGCGAGTTATTTCGCTTGAAATCTGGTCTTTCCGCCCTTTGTCGTTTCCAAGGGGACGCCAAGAGGATGGATTCGCCGCTCGGCCCGGGCTTCGAAGCGGCAGGACGAGGTCCAGGTGAAGCCCTTCGAGATCGCGCCGCGGTCGGGTTCGGAGATCGCTGGGTTTGGAGGTCGCTGCTGTCGGCTCCTCTCGTTTTTCTTTCTTTTGGTCACTTCATTTTTGTGTCTTGCTATTTTGTTTCTTCTTTTTTCTTCTTTTTCGTTTTTTTCCCCCGGAGATTTCGATTGGATTCTCCAAGCAATGTGTCCCAATTTGTGAATTACCAGGTTTCGGTGCAGGTTTTGCTCCCACTGGTGGTTTCCCCCCGTCGAACTCAAAAACCGAGCTCGGCATTGTTTGGTTTATGTGTTTGGTTTGGTTTGGGCTTGTTTGTATTTGCTTTCCTTTCTTGTCCCTGCTTCTGGAGTCCACCCCTGGCTTCTTTGCCTTGGGTTAGATTTGTAGTCTCCTTGTTTCTCTTTGAACGGACACCTTCGGGAACGGAGTGCCACTTTCCGCATTTTGGTAAAAGTTGCTCCTTTGTGCAGAGAGCCTCTTTGTAGGGAGTGCCCTGAGCGACATCCCGGCCACGCGAATCCTGTGACCTTTTGGCGAATAAGCGTCTTTGCGTCACTCCCAGAAACCACAACACAACCCATGCCAGACTGGCATTGGCCCAAGTGAGCGAAGGGAGACACAAAATCAATGCCGCCATGCTTCATCAGTTCTTTTTGGGGCCCAAACAAACCAAAGCTGACGGTGGCTCAATTCCAAGTGCCGGCAGATGACCACTGGGAGTGGCAACTTCAGACCCGAGCCCGAGCGAGGATTGGCTGGGGGGCTACTGGAAGCTCCCGAAGTTCCCGCTGCCCGAAGCCAACGGATCGGTCGGGCTGCAGGCCATCCATGATCGCGCCCCGGCAGAAAATCGAACGGCCTGGGCCGTGGCACGCGCGTCCGGGTCCAAGGGTTTGGCTTCAGACGAGCGGAGGACCAGAGCTGTGAACGGCTTCCTCAAATTTATCAGGTTTCGGTTCTGGAGCTGGGCTCCAAATTGGACAGATGTAAAAACAACAGACCCCCGGGTTTTTTTCGGGGTCTGCGGTTTTCCAGATTTCCATGTTTGGGTTTGAAGGGGAGACATGCGTTGATTTCAGGAGATAATTACAGAAGATGGTGCGCGCTCCACCTGCTGCTTTCGCTAGTCTTTGTTGGGTTCTCTTCCAAAAAAGAGAGTTACGGCTGCATTTTGTGTGACCCTGGCTGTCTGGAATCTTAGATTCCGCCCTCACCAAAGCCCCACCCTCCGCGCGGGCCAACGCCCATGGCGGCGGTGGCGGTGGCGTGGGCGGCGGCGTGGCTCTCGCTGCGGGGCGCGGGGGCGGCCAACTCCACGCTGCTCCGCGCGCACGGGCGGCACAGCACCGAGGAGTTGGACGCCCGCGCCAAGGAGACGGAAGAGTGGGATGGGGAAAGCGTGGGGAAGGATGGATTGAGGGAGGGAATCCTTTTTGGGGGTTTCGGGGGTACTTGGATCAGAAGGAGGGGACGAACTAGGGGAGGGTGTCAGGGTGGGGAGGGGGGTGGTGGGGCCGGGATGGGATGGGATGGATTGGGAGGGAAGGATGGATTGGGGACAGAAGAAAAAGAACAAACATGTGGAAGGGGTGAGTGTCGGGGGTGGACTTTCAGGCCATGACCAGCTTGCCGGACAGCACCGTGCCCGTAAAGACGCTCCTTGGCCTCAGGGTTCCCCCAGCACGATTGGCCATATGTGGCCAATGTACTTTTTTTCTTCGTCTTTTTTTTTTTTCTCTTTCGGCTGCTTCTGACTTCTGACTTCAGCTGTGTTCACCATCTTTGACCACGACTAAGATATTAAGCACCATGCTTGACCATATTCAATATACTCGCCCGTATTGACTTTTCAAGAATTGCTTGTACCTGGAAGGCTCACCGTTGAAACATGAACACGTCCAGCCAGAAAAAAACCTGCGAGTTGGCTGGAAGGGTTGCAACCTCGGACCTTTTTGGGTTAAGGCAGTCATACCAATCGTTTCTACTCCTGCAGGTCACCATATCCAGGCTATCCATGTCACCATATTTCATGTGCCGCCATGTGGGTTCGCCGCAACTTTTTGCATACTCCAGCCTCCTCAAGCTGCTTGAACACCATATGTCTCATATTTGTCCACAGAAACCACAAGCACCTGAAGACTCTCGTTAGACATGAAGGCCATGCACCATTTCTCGACATTCGGAAAAACCATAAGTTCGGAGCATCTTTCTCAACATATGCTTCACCGTGTACTTCACTAGCTTCACCACATCCGAAGTTCGCCACATTGCCCCTCCGGCCAACTGGACGCACATTTCACAATTCTCCGCAGAGTTTCCATATGCTCATGATGTTCCCATCTTGCGGCGAAGATCTACCCCCCCCCCCCTTTCAACTATAGTTTTTCCACCCCATGTTTTCACCACATTCCACAATTGTTCACCATAGTCCGCCATTGTCTACCACATACTTTCCATATCTTCACCACATTTCCCATCTTCCCCATAGTTCATTTGGGCAAATGACAACGACGCCACCAGGGGCAAGGTTTCTTTCACTGGGATCCATGTTGTATGTTGGTTGGTGAATTATCTGCCCAGATGCCGCCCGTTTGAACCATGTCTCCGCCATGTCATATGCTTCACCATGCTTAAAACCAGCAGCTTTCATTCTCCGCAGATTTCCCATGTCTTCACCACATTCACCCCATCCACCCCGTATTTCATGGGGCCCTTCACGCCTTCCCCCAATTTCAGGGCCACAGTTCTCAACGCGATTTGGACCCGAGGCTCTTCGAGTACTTCGTGTCGATGCACCGCTACCACCAGGCCGCGCCCACGCTGCCGGCCGACGCCTTCACCGCCTTCGCGGCCGCAGATCTCAAGTCGCAGCTGCCGGAGGACTATCTGGACAACCAGCTGCCGGCGGGACAATTCAGAATACAACGTATTGTCTTGGAATGAATAAGTGTTGGGCTATCACAGAATTTTCATTAGCTTGTCTTAATGAAATGAATGTTGGGCTGCCGCTTCCCCCTCAGTGCTAAATAGCCCTCGATTCTCAAGCGGGAGTCGATGCAACCGTTGGATTCCTGAACAAACTATCATGGACAAACCACATTCTGACCTTAGGTTGCTCCAAATTCCAGCCTGACATCGACCTCCCGTCATAGTGCTAAAATGTCAGCCAATTTTTGCACGGTCTTTTGTTGCAGAATTTGACTTGGTATGGAGGGCCGTTGTGCAAATAGGTGTCGACCATCTTAGCCCACAGACTGCTGCAGGGTTACATGTACAGCGCAGCATATCTAGTTTTAGTCAACGGAACGCTATGTTCTTGACCGTTGACGCCCGGACCAGCTTAGAATCAAGGCCCAAAAGATGCCCAAGATAGAGGCACAATTCAGGCAAACAGGGGCGTAGCGCCGTTTGGGCAATGACGCCGACCGTGCCAATCAAATCCAGTATTTCTAAAGCAACATATGGCATCCCCGCGGCTGCATGTGTAATGAGTGCAGCCACGAGGATGCTGTGGGCGTCGACCTCTTTAGACTACGTAGACTGGTCCCGGATAGATTTTGTATTTGTACTTTATTTTATTTTAGTAGGGCTGGATCACTGGTTTGGTTGGTTGGTTGGTTGGTTGGTTGGTTGGTTGGTTGGTTGGTTGGTTGGTTGGTTGGTTGGTTGGTTGGTTGGCCGCATCCCCGGCATCACCAGCATCACTTGGGTTTGGGGTTGTTTATTGGCTCGGAATTAGTTTGGGGTTGATTCAGGCGAAGTGAAGGGCCGAAACGAGGTCAACACTCACTTAACCACATCCTAAAGCAACCCTAAAGCCGCTGCTAAACCAGCAGCACACCTAACACAAATCAGCTCCAAACCAACCCAAACCCACTCAAAGTCAACCCTAAACCCGCCCAACAGCAGCCTGGATGTCAGCCCTTCGCTTCGCCTCCCCAAACCCAAGTGATGCTTGTGATGCTGGGGGTGTTGCCAGCCCTGCGGAAAACCAGCCCTAGTAAAAAAAAGAACACCGTCACCGATCCTTCCCCTTTGGGGTCAACGATTCTTCAAGCAACATTCCCTTTGCTGGTTGTTTCTTGCAAATCCTTCCGTTTTGCGGACGAGGGGGCCTAGACCAACTTACCAGTTGCTTGCTTCTCCCTGCGTTTTGCCCAGCAAGGAAACCCTACTATTTTCCTGTTGCCTTCCTTCCCCGCGGTTTTTCTTGTGGGTATGCGCCAAAAGGGAAACTCCAAACAAAAGCAGAGTTTTGTTTTTTGCGTATGTAGTTGCCTTTGCGGTGTTCCTAACCCACCTCCTCCTCAACATGGGGGGACCAGAGAAGCTCGCTCGAGCCATTTTTGTCAGGGGCACTTCAAGGGCGTGTGGTGCATGCTGGAGCACCCCTCGGACCTGGCCTGCTTCATGCCCTACAACTCCGAGTTGGAGTTCGACGAGTCCGGGAAGGGTCTGCCGGCCCAGGGCTTCCAGCCCAGGACTGTCGCCATGGGTGGGGTGGGGGGGAGGCTTGGGTGGATGGTTCTGACTTGGGGTTCTTTTGAAGGGTTGGTCTCGCGACCGGAGTGTTGTCCTGCTCCTTGGATGGCTTCTTTGAGACCCAGGCGTTGCTTTCTCCAAAATTGGGGACATATTGCCTGAAAAGAGAGACAAAATCCGCCCCGCCCCCTCCTCGCAACCAAGAAAGGTTCTCAGAGCATGGGGGCGGGGGTCTTTTCGTTTTGCCTCAAATTTGTTGGCTTCCCGGTTGGTTTCACCAGTCAAGTTTGTGTCTCCTCTTGAAAGGCTTTCGGTCAAGAAGAAAAGCAAGGGAAACAGTCAGCCCTTGTGGGCGCAGGCTTGAATATCGGCTGCCAATTGTTCCAGCCTGCGAACCCTTTGCATCCTCTTCAGGGATCCAAACATTTCAGGGAAAGGGACGTTTTCTAAGAAGAACTATTTGTGACCAGAACAAGGAATCGGCTGTGTCTTTTCCAGGTGCAAGAATAGACTAGTTCACTAAACCGGACAGAATTGCTTTCGTGGTTTGTTTTCGGAGGGGGAGGCAGGGTAACCTCCCCCCCCCCGACATATCCGCTGAACAGCAAACCAAAACACCACCTTTCAGCGGAAGTTTGTGATGGTGTACTTATAAAGTGCATGGGCAAACGGACGATTTTCTTCCTGCCACTTCCTTTTTGCTTGTCTTAAAGGCTACCGAAAGGGCTCCAAATGGTTCCCATGTTGTTTGCCAGGGCTTGTCGCCTCAGCTGGGGGCGGGCAATGTTTAGAGTCTAGAGTTTTGGGGCAAGCCGCCCTGTGCCTCGGTATGTTTGCCAACATTTTCCTATTGTTTCCCTTCCCCGTCAGGGTTTGTCTCCAAACGGGGAACCAATAGCCTTTAGTTCAAAAGGCTTCCCACTCTTTTTGTGTGTTTGGATGTTTGGTGTGGTATTGTTTCAATTGTCCCCGTTGTCTTTGTTTGTGGCCTTTGCGCTTCCACCCTGCGCTTCCCATTTTGGTCCTCCGTATTTTGTGGTTTGCGGTTGCCTTTGGTCCAGGAAGATGATCTTCTGGGACAACCAGGCCTGAGCCTGGCGTCTCCTCTGTTCCCGTTTTTTGTTGGTTTTAAAAGAAACCTAAAAGGAAAAGAGGACACCAACATGACCCCCATTTTGGGGCTCCCCTTGGTTCTCAGATTCAATTGTGAATTTGGGACACAGGATGTATTCCTCAATTGAGGGAAACCGTTTGTGGCACGTGCCAATCCCCCAGAAGAATTCCCTACCAAGATCAGGTCAACATGTTGACACCTTCTGTTCCTTTTCCAGCGGAGAAGGACGCCTCGAACT